TTAAATCTGTAAAATTGTTAATAATTTTTTTAAAACAGTTTTTCATCTGATAATATATAAAGATATATTTCAATTTATTGATTTGGTACATCAACGTACATAACATACATTATATGTTTAAAATGTATGAGTTTATTATGATATCTTTAATTTTTTTAAAATTATTTTAATTATAAATATATATTAGTAAAATGAAGCTAATAATCCAAAATAGTTTGAACATTTTGTTTTTATGTTAATCTTTTTAAATTTTGTGAAAATTCTATAGTCAGTACTGAAATATGGGATATAATTTATAATTTAACAACTTGATATTTTGGATTTTTTTGAAAATAATTGAAAATGTGGAAGTTTTGTTGTTGCGTTAATGCAACGTGCCCAATCGAAAATGTTGAGGCAGATTACTGATGCTCCGTGGTTTGTTAGTAACAAAACTTTACACGACGATCTTCATATTGATTTTATAAACAAAATAATACAAATCAACAGTATAAAACATTTTCAAAAACTACAACATCATTCAAACAATATAGTCTCTCAACTTCTTGAGACATCAACTTCAAGAAGACTGAAGAAGAAGCTGCCCGAAGATAATATGGAGGAACCTTAGATAATATGAACAGAATAATTGAATCATTTATTGAAGTGATTCTCTAAATATGATTGTAACATTGATCCGATAAATTTATATGTGTGTTTGCAAGTGTGTGTGTATGTGTGTGAGTGAATGACATAAGCCAAATAGCTCATAGAACAGTCATGTATTCTGATTGCTATTGAAAATAAAAATTTAAAAAAAATAAAAATTAAAAAAAAAAAAAAAAGTTCAATGTTTCCTAAAATATTAATACTTCTATTCATGTAACAAGCGGAAAATCTTTATAATTACCTGTTTAGAAGGTCATTTCATTTTTTTTCTATACCTCAATAGCGAAGAAAAAGATTTTTAAATAATTTGCTAATTATATATAACTATACTTAATATTTTAAGCAAATATTGAAATAGTACCATCTTTTGTATGAAATACAAAAATAAGCTTTATAAAATAAACCATGTCGTATATAATTAATGGCACGGCATTGGCACATTAGTTGTATATTAATGTATATATGTATATATATATATATATATATATACACACGTATCTTTTGATGTTCCATGGTGTAACGGTTAAGCTCACGGTCTCGTGTATATACTCGTTAATGATTGTGAATTCGAACCCGCTCTGGACAACCTGAAATCTTACTGTAGCAATGTCCGTTTCCATTTCCATTTGAACATATCAGTGTAAAATATATCGAAAATAGCCCATTTTGGGCACTGCGGAGTGAAATGGCAAGAGAAAATCTCTTACACTATTTTTTCCTGAATCGAGTTGGAATTTACGTGTAGCTTATGCTCACGGACCTGCTCTAGGTTAGTACCCATTATGCATCTTCTAGCAAAAAAAATAATAAGTTGAAAATTTAACTATAACAATCTATCTATATAATTTTCAAATTAGCAAAATTGATACAAAAAATAATTTTATTTTAACTTTTATAATAAATTTTTTCTTTCATTTATTCATTTTTTAAAGCTCTGACAATCATTCTAAATTAATAACTTACTAGAAGATTGTACTTTTCAGACCGATATGTCTGTTCATGAAGATTTCAATTTTTAGGTAATTATCATTATATAATTATAGTATAAAATTTCGATTATCAAATTCAACTCTTGAATCCACTAAATATTTTTTGACACCTACTGAAAAAAGAAAAAATAAATTTTATTTCAAACAAGACAAGGATCAGCAGCGACGAGAAACATTTTTATCCATCCCTTATCTTGTATGGATAATATATGGCGATATATTTTTTCTGACATTTTTACAGCGTGGCAGTCAAAGAAATGTTCTTATCGATAAGTTGCCCAGTTTTTGATCGTATCGTGCATATTAAAGTGGCATGCACTTTTCTTTGTTATATTTTTTCATGAAATTACAGCTCGCATGTCCTCGTAAAGTACGAGCAGTTTGCATAGAACATTTGACAATAGAATTTGCTAATGCTGCATTGATTTAAATATTGAAATAGCATTCGAACAGTTGAAATGATTCACGATAGGAATCAATTTATTCATAAGAATATTTATTTTAAGATTGTTCAACTAATACTTCAAGATCTATAAATACGTTAACAATAATTGACATCTATCGATGATTTAGGATTTTGTTTGTAAAATTTATCATTTTCAAAAATTAATTAGCACTATTGCGAACTAATGCCTTTTGAATGTTTTTAGAAATGGTTTCGGATTTTTTGCAGAAAGTTTATGCAAGATTTTTTATTTATAAGACAAAACTGAACAACGCCATTCATTATTGAGTTCTATCAATTTACTTCTAAGGATTTGATATCGGTGCAGCAGGTTCTGAGAAAATGTTGGGAAAAAATATAATATAACATTTACATATAAATAGGGGAAAGACGGACAAAATGGTATATATGAATTATGGATAAAATGACACAGTGGTGAAAAATGAAAAATTGGATAGTTTTAGTAACGCTTCCGTCATTATATAACATGAAGAAAACCATAATCACCATCCTGTCAGATGTTGAGCGTCATTGTCGTTGTAATCAGTTCAAACGTATATCACCACACTTTAAAAAATTTATTCCTAGCGCGGTTGTCTCATTATTTCTTGGGTCTTATTTATTGTTATTTTATTGCAATTATTTTTATTAATATTAATAAACTTAAGCCAGTATTAGTAAGGTGACCATATTTTTTCTAGTCAAATCCGGGACGGTAATTTTAAATTACGCTAATCCGGGACGGGGGAGGGGATGAATGCTAAAAAAATTAATATGATTGTAAAATAACAAATACTATTTAAGAATTCAATAAAAATCCGCCTTTTTCAAATGAGTATTTTTTTTTTTTTAACAGAATTACTGATTAAGAACTTCATTATTTGATTATGTGTTACATTTGATTTTATATTTTTGAATCTCTGTTTTTTTCAGGTCTCAAACTTATTATAAAATTTTGTTAATTTTTTTTCATTAGCACATTGATTTGCATTATTCCAGGCAGCCAAGACGTTCATTTTCATAATTTTTGTTAATTTTCATAAAATTGAAAATATAAGTTCAAAATTATAAATGTGAGAGGCTATATCAACCCGCTTTTTTCACATAAGCTAGTTGTTTATAACATTTTCAGATATTTGATGGGTAGTTGTAATTTTAATATCAAGTAAGAGTGAAGATTCTATTTTTCTGAAATCCGGAACAATCTGGGATAAAAATCTAAATCCGGGACAAATATCGCTTTAAGAAAAACCCGAGACACAAGGTGGAAATCCGGGACTGTCCGCTTGATATTACCGGGACATATGGTCACCTTAGTATTATAATCATGATTGCAATAATTATTGATTGTAATTTTGATTATTCATTCAATTTTCTTTATTTTTGTACAAAATGGCATAGTACTTGGCAAACACTACAGGGTAGTTTATTTGAGGCCAAGAAAAAAGTAAATTGAAACATGCCAAAGGTGATTGACTTTTAACTTCTATTCTAACTACTTCTAAAATTGACTAACAGATACATCGGTTAAAAGAATAGACTTGTTTTTATTGCAAAAGCTTCTTTTCCCGTTAGGAGCCCGACGAAGGTTTTTTATAATGTGTGACTTGTTTGTACCCTTTGGGCCTATAATTTATGTTGATCTCCCAAAGAGAACTAAGCAATTTCAGTCAGAACAGTCTTCTTAACAAATTAGTATCTCTGTATGTGCCACCTTATATATGTCATTTTATATGGAGAAAATGGTTTTTGTAATTAGTCGTATTTTTTCTAAATAAATCAGTTATTATCTTCCCGTAGGGTAAGTTATTGTAATGGGCCGAAAATCGAAATTGAAAATGTTTGCATTTCTCGACGTTTTGAAGGTTTCTGAACATTTTGGCATATCCCAGAAAAAATGGATGTGTGTGTGTGTATGTATGTATGGATACAATTTTTCGGTCACGTTTTCGGGCGCACGGATCAACCGATTTAAATGTTTTAAAAAACATTCGATTTCTATTGATAGGGAGATGTGCTGATTAGTTTTTGGCAAAGGCAGGTTCAGCAGTTACTGAGATAAAGAGCAAAGAGTGCAGAAAATTGAAATCGAGTTTTTGAAAGAACGGAGCATCCGATTTAAATGATCTAAAAAACATTCAAAAGTAATGACTGGGAGAACAGGTGATTAGTTTTTTTCAAAGGCAGGCCCAGCCATTTCGAAGATACGGAGCTAAATGTGCAAAAAATGGCAGTTTTTGAGAGAACTAAGCGTCCAATTTGAATGATTTGAAGAACTTTCTGCTTGTCTTAACAAAATAATTGATTTTGGAAAAAAAATTTTGTTGCAACTTTTTTTTCTCAAAAAATTTTTTTTTGTATATCGAAAATAATTAAGATTTTACTTTTAATTCTGACTATAGTTCTAACATACTTTAAACAAATAATTTCAACTTTGCAATTCAGTTTATATAATTCTTATAAATATTAGACAATGTTACAATATTTCTAATAATCTATTTGAAAACATTCAATATTCCTCGAACATTCCGTTACGGTACGGGGAAGCTCCAGCAATTTGACTTAAGGCACGATGCCATACACCCCACTAGTTATACTTTCTACTTCATTGAAATACTATGTCACTGGTAGCCAATGAATCTAATATGAGTAAAAAGACTGACTATTGAGTCTGATTATAATATCATTGAATAAATAAATATCATTAAAAATAAAACATGTTATTCTGTCATAGACCTTAATACATTATAGGGATTCAACTAACAGATTTTTTTTTTCAATTTTATGTCAAACAATCCAGAATTGCTTATAAAGCCGTGAAAATTGAAAATAAATTTTTAGTTCGAGTATCTAAATCTATCTATATATCTAAATACTTATTCCTTTATTCGAGTCTCATCTTTATTTATATTTTACAGATTGTATTTAAACATAATATTATAGAAGATTGAAGATTGACATAAAAGAATTTGCGAGTCTTACCAGAGGATTCGTCGTCGTAGTTCATTCCTTTCAAGTCGATTATTTTCGTGAAGGCTTCCTAGGCCGGGAATAGTAGCACGCTGTGGTTTCGCCGTGAGATGTCTCGATACGGCTGCGACTGCGAGCCATGACCAGCATAGCATTGCATCCAGTAGCACCGGCCCGTCCACTGACGCCGTCTGCCGCTCCTGACCGCACGCCGGACAGCCCCACAGCCACGGCAAGGTAAGGGGAAGTCCGCGATTAAATACTGAACTGAAAATAAAAAATGAAAATTTTTGCATATCTTTACGTTTCAAAGGTTTCTGGACATTTTAGCATACCTCAGAAAAAATGGATGTATGTGTGAGTGTGTGTGTGTGTGTAGTATGTATGTATGTTTGGATACAATTTTTCGTCTACGACTTCGGGCGCCTAAATCAACCGATTTGAATGGTTCAAAAAACATTTGATTTCTATTAATATGAAGACGTGCTGATTAGTATTTGGTGAAGACAGCTTTAGCCGTTTCGGAGATATGGGGCAAAAAGTGCCAAAAACAGTAATTAAGTGTTTTAGAAAATGGAGTGCTCGATTTGAATGATTCAAAAAACATTTTACTTGTAATGACGAAATGAATAATTGGTGCAATATTCGGTCGGGCAGGTCTAGCGATTTTGTAGATACAGAGGAAAAAGTAAAAAATATGATATTTTGTGGTCAAAAATGAACATTAGACGTATGCATATCAAATTATCAGATATTTTATGAAATTTTTAAAAATTAGTACTAATTTTTTTGTTACAATTTTGTTGGTTCCGTACCTTTTAATTTTCAAAGGTTACTTATACGGTTCAATCAAATATCAAAATTTTCCGAAAAAAAATTTCAAAATTTTCAAAAATATACAAAGTTTTATGCTTTAAATATGAATTTTAAATTTACAATTCATTTTCAAAATGCATATATTTTCCATGCGAAAATAGCTACAGATGGATTCATTCATTCACCTCCTGCTAATGTAAACTTTCTCAAGTGCTTTGAGCGATAATATCCTCACTGTATATTTTATGAACGATAAAATATATAGTGATTATAATTATCTATTTAAAAATGTATAAAACAATTGTTGTAATTCATTGATCAATTTTTATTGATTACTGATTTTTTTTCTCGAATATATAATTTTGATACGGGAAGTTCTAGCAATCTCCCTTAAGGCACGATGCCATACACCAAACTAATTTATTATTAGTATTAGACATGGGTAACTAATTCCCCAATTATCTCTCCGAGACAACTCTTTCCTCGGAATGAATCCAAGCAGAGTTGTATTGGAGATTTTAACATTTCCGAATTTTCTAAACTTGTACTAAGAAACCGATTCTGCCGCATAACATACAAATGTTATAGCAAGGCTATGTTATGAAGAAATTTCCATACGAATTCGTTCTAAATATTGAAAAAGTCATGCGGCTGCTCTGTAGTCAGGCGTATTTCTCAGGTTGTCAGATAGAAAACTTAACCTAGAAACCGCATAAATTTCAAAAAAAAACGATGTGAGATAACAGGGTCTTTCTGACTCGGCTTTGAAACATATGAGTGACAAAGCAGTTTATGTGTAAAACGCCTGAATGCGCAGCAAGTACATGACATTTTGACAGTATTCAGTATGATTCAGTAGCATAATGTATGAATCTCGGACCGTAACATGGCTTTGCCATAACATTTGTCTATTATGCGGCAGAATCGGTCTCTAAGTTTGTCTGTTAACGTACTGTTCTGAAGCGGAGTCAAATCTTAACCGATTCGGCTTCGGATATGATAAACCAATCTCTAATTTGTATAATTCTGCTATATCTAAATTAAATGGAATGTGCTCTATATCATATTCTATTACTATATAGACCATTGAGCATTCGGGCATATTTTCAATTGAATTAGGCATTAAAAATGATTCACCTATTCTTCGAGTTTCCAAAACATATGTTTTGACTTGGGCTTTATTTATTCTAGTATGCAGTCAACAAAGAATGCCATTTTGCTTATAAATTAACTGTCGTAGCAAGATACCCGCATGATTTGAACTATATTTACTAATAACATACTATCCTTTAACGAACGAGCGCATCACCTAGAACTATGCCTAGTAGGTACACATGCTTTTTAAGAATGTAAGTTCTTTATTTCCAAAGCGAGAAAAGTTGCATAATTAATATCGCTTTATTGAAAGGAATTTCTCGAATATTCAATTTCCGAGCTTATTTCCTAACTGCATTGTACCCATATTGACAAATACCGAAAGGAAAGCTCAAATATAGTATTACAAATATAGTTACCAAGTGACCTCAAAGCCTTTTCGATATGTTTTTGTTGTTGACGTCAAAGATATTTATAATATGATGGGATTACATAATCATATGATCGTAATGGAATTGCCTAGCACCAATGCAACTAATTTACAATGTTAATTATTTGGCTACACAAAGGCTTGTTGTAATATACCGCATGTTTGTACTAGGTGTAGGGGCTTACAATAACAGGGATAACAAAATCGATATCATACTTTGATTACTGTTTAGATCACAACTGTAGTTACCGTGGATTTAGGGCGTACCACTAATTGCACAGACAAAAAAATAAAAAATAATCTGCTTCTACCTTTTTTTTTTCACCAATAATAACAATGCAGCGGATGCAAGGCATTACATCCAGTTCCTAACTTTTAGTTTAATAAAAAAAGTACATTTTTTGTCGATTATAAGAGTATTCTTAACCAGTTCATTCAACCGTATATAGAAATAAATCTTCTGCATTCTATTTATCTATAAGCGGGTACAACTGTTTTCCGCACTTAGCATAAGCTCCTCCGAAAGGCGGCTTTACACTGTAGAGAAAAATCTAGATAGAGTGTTGACTCTCTAGCTAGAACGCTCTACCGTTGTCTGTACACTGTCAAGTGTTTTTCTCTTCCGAGATCACTTTCGTACTCTAGGAGAGGAGTAGGTGAGAGGTGCTAGAGCAACTCTACCTGGACACTCTAAAAAGCTTTGTACACTTGTGGCTAAATATATTAATATATATTAATCGAAGACTTTACAACTAGACTATAGAAGTAAACTTCGTTTTTCAGTCTAGTTCTTGTGAGACAATTGACAATTTTTGTTGTTTTGTATCTTTTATAATAAAGTTATTATGATGAGGTCCCGGCAAAAACAAGGCAATATCAATATGTTTGATTTTTTTATTTATTAATTTTTATCTTTTTTGTCATATGAAGTCTTAAATGGTATCCTACAATAAAAATTTTAAATCACAATATGAATTAACTTTATTTACTTACCAGCACATCTGTATTAATAACATCAGGGGCACTGCCAACACTGCCAATTGAATCTTCTGTTGAATTTGTCTGGATATTCATAATCTTAACAGCCTCAAAAAACTCCCACTTTGGTTTATACCTTTCATCTGCACCTTGACCAGTTTTGAACTTTTTCATTTTTCTCAGATGCTCATTTAACTGGCATCTCAAATTATGAATTTTGTCTTTTACTATTTTAACGCCCAAATTTAAAGACGTTGCTATTGTTTCCAAGGACTTACATTTCAGGTTTCGATTCCTATACTCCTACAACTGGACATTCCACAATTCTGGACGAGCCTCTATCAATTTAATTAATTGAAACACTTTATTTTTCTCTCAAACAAACTTTTCGCACTGTTCTTCATCACATAATGCTTTCATTTTCCAAAATCAAAAAAACAACTTTTCTTGGGAACACAAAGAAACAAACCAGTGCAAAGCATAACAAAAAAAACTCTACGTATAGTACAAAAAAATATCCAACAAGTTGAATAATGCTAGAGGTAATAGCTAGAGCGTGGAAGTTGTGCAGAGAGCCTGTGTACACTGAATATCATTTGTTTAGCGAGATTGTCTACGGAGAGCCTAGAGTGACTCTCGCTAGAGTGCTCTAGTTGCTGTGTACACTATGGGACTCTACATAGAGCGCTCTATTAGTGCTCTAGCTAGAGCGACTCTAGCCAAAAACTCTCGGCACCTTAATACCGCTCGCACACAAAGTATGTTATTGATCATATACATAATTATAATATGATTTTTTTTTCTGAATTCAGCGAAAGCGATCGTAGCGGCAGCGAACCAATAAGCGAGCAAATTACGCGCCTATTTCCCAAGTGCAGACCGCGCGCGTCGGCCGCGGTCACCGACGTGAACCTAAACCCGGCGTCTAACAACGGTCACGGCGCCGGTACGGCTGCCGTCGTGGGAGCCGTCAACAAGCTGGATCCGGATGAGCAGCGCAGGAGAGCAGCAGCTAGAGACGCCGCGACTGCCGCGCAGAACGACGGTTCTGGTCAGGTACAGCAGAGGGACACGGCCACCGACAGGTAAAAAGGCTTATAAATAAATATAGGATATTAACCCTCCGTCGGTCGGATATTTTTTCACCTTCGAACGGTCGGAAAGCTCTGGCGGGACCACCATTCATTTTACATGCATTTATATGGGATAAATGAGTTTTTGGTGTCTTATATATTAACGATTATTAGTAGTAAATATTTAAAGTTTTGATTTTTTCTTTTTCTTACCGTCTTTTGCATATGTTGAACTTGCTTATAATAAAAATATTATATGTTATATTATATTATATAAAAAAAATCAAGAAATATAAAAAAATCGTTGCTTTTTGTTAATTTTTCTGATTTATATCAATGAAAAACAATATTTATTCTTTTTCGGCGCCTTTGAAATGAATGTGAAATTCAAATGAAAACGAAATGAGGTGCGTCGCCTTTGAAATGAGCTGTAAAACTCAAAGTGAAAATATAATTTCACTACAGGTTTCAAAAAAAAAAAATTCGAACGCAGTACGGGTAGAAAAATTGTTGATAATGTGTGCATTACTCATCCGATTTTCAGTGTTTGCGATTACCAATGAGTTTGGTAGGTTTTCAAGGAACTCTCGTCATGAAAATACTAACATTCATGTTACAACACATAGCAAAGAATATATACAACGCAGTTTGAATAGAAAATACCATGAAAAAAGACAAAATACTGGTTTACATATATCAAAAAGCGTATATTTCATACAAAATGTATGGGTGGTCTAGACAGACCTTTCCGACCGTTCGAAGTATAAAAAAGTTAATATCCTTATAATTATCCTTCTGTACATTTTTTCGTCCTGAATTTTTCATTGATGGACAGCTAATGAAATTTTAGGAAAAGTCAAGAAATTTCAAGTCGATAGGATTACTAGAAGTATTTTTTTGTTTAAATTGAAGTCGAAAAAAGTCTGGCCAGACCACGCCGACTGACGGAGGGTTGAATATAGATTAACCTAAACCTAAACGTGGTACTTTTCTATATAAATAAAAATGGAATGCATTTTATTGTGGCGATTGAATGGGATAGTGTTTTGATGAAACTTGTGTCTCTGCGACTTTGAGTCAAATTTTATTAATTTGAATTAGTTAAGTTATAAAAGTCATCGGCACGCGTATGAGCTACAAACAGCATATCGGGCGGTAATGTGCTGATCAATTTTAATCGCCGCTTTTTTTAAAAAATAAAGGCATTTCAACTATTAATTTCAGTGACGATAAGCACATTAATTAATAAGCATATTATCTAAAAAAAATTCCAAAAGGGACAAAGAAATGTAGTTTTCGCAGATTGCTTCGAATATATAAACTGGTTTTTCTGAATAATTTCTTTTATCAGTTAATTTCCTCGATACTCGAATAAATAAAGAAGCTCACTGGAAATTTTTACCAGAAATGTTGGGATTACCCCAATAATAACATCCAAGCCCTAGGCCAATATACACTAGAAATGGGTTGGTATGACAAACATGCCGTGCCAAACTATTGTCTGATCGATCTCTAGCGGCAAATGATACTTGGCACGTCACTCTGATTTTCCTTCAGAGCGAATAAATCTATTGTATACTCTTTGTGTGTATAATTATTCATTATTATAAATATTGTTGTGTGATTTTTTTGGGAAAATTTTTCTTTCCTTATTTTTATCACAATAATGCCATAACTTTTATATTCTAAATACATACTTATTATTGTTTTTCAATAACAGATATGACGGATACTATATCTACGGGTAAATATCCAAACAAAGCTCAAAATTTTTTCATGTACATATGTACCCGAGTTCGATACCCAATTCCGGCAGCCTGTTGTCAGACAGCAGTGACAACGATTTTCACTTGGAAATATAGATAGCAATATGTTTCCAAGTGAAAATAGCCCTCACCCGGCATTGCTGCACCATTAAAAATACTCGCCATTACAGAAATTGTAATAATAATATATCAAACAGAGATGTGACAACTGATTGGGTTGCCATCTGTCAAACAAACTAGTATTAAGTCAAAATCAGCACAACAGCTCATAGGACTATTAGGTTCTGATTGCTGTTCAAAAATAATTTTAAAAAAATGTACATATGTAAATATATATATGAGATTCAATCTTCAGGGCAATATATCAATTAAAAAATTGTATAAATTTATAAAATTTTAATTATTGCATACGTTTCGACTATTATTTTATGTCATCTTCAGTGGACTACAATTTGAACGAAACAAATATAAAATAACTAAACTATGTGACAATGAAACAATTAATAAAAACTAATTTTCAAAGAAATAATATAATGTAAAAACTTACATCTAAACTAGATTACTCTTAATTATCTCAGATAATAATATTTCACAATAGCACGAAAATAAATTTCTTAATGTAGAGAGTAACATGTTGCTTAAACCATCCGAGGCGCTTGATTCGTTTGTTTTATTTTGTTTCATTTTTTTTTTTGCATTTTAACTCAATTTATACCAATCAAGTCCACCTTCACAATTGTCATATTTTAATTGTATGTAGTTTGTACCATACTCGATTTTAAAACTTTTTTTCTATGTTGTGTTTCGTCCCTTTACCTAACTTTTTTTTTTTTTTAAAGTTATTAATTTATATATATACATTATTCTCATATCTCAGTCAGGCAGAGTTGCCTGGTATGAGAGATTATGAAAACAGTTTTCATATAATATATACATTTCATTTGACTATAATATCTATTTCATTAATATAATATCTATGTATAACTAAAAATATCTTTATATATAACTCTTCAGTCTTCTTTGTCTTCAATTTCCTTATAGTGTTTCTTTATTTTTCTTTTGAATTTATCGTCTCTTTGGTCATCTTAATATCGTTTGGCGATTCGTTATATATTTTGCTAGCACTCCATACGACATTTTCTCTGAAATTCTTCTTTCTATTGTGTTCAATGTGAAAATTGTTGTGTTGTCTAGTGTAGTGTTCATGTATGTCTTGATTTATGTCTATTGTTGCGCTTGTTTTAATTCGGTTAAATTTCATTTTGTGTATTAGTTCGCATTTTTCTATTTTAATTATGTTATTTAGTGAATGATTATTTGTTTCTCTCTGTAAGTATTTGTTGGGTGTTAGATGTGGAAAATTATATGCCACACTTAAAATGTGGTTTGCACATTTCTGATTTACTGTCGCCTCGGATGGTCTGAGCAACATGTCACTCTCTACATTAAAAAAATTATTCTAAAAGTATATATATATATATATATATATATATATATATATATAATTGTTGATTTAAACTGACAAGTATTGGTATATTAGTGATATTGTGAATTGTTATTATCTGAGATAATTAGGAGTATTCTATTTTACATGTAAGTTTTACACTATATTACTTCTTTATAAATTAGTTTTAATTAATTGTTTCATTGTCACATAGTTTAGTTATTTTATATTTGTTTCTTTCAAATTGTAGTCCACTGAAGATGACATAAAATAATATGATTGAATGAAGGCCTGATGATTGAATCTCAGATATTTCAACATCAAAATTATTGAAATATTTTAACATATATATATATATATATATATATATATATATATATATATATAGATATATAGATATATGATTATTGAAATAAAAAAGTTAAGTATATAGTATAATATATATATATATATATATATATATATATATGTACTATTAATTTCCCGTATGATAAGTTATAATAATCTTCCAAAAATAGAAAAATAGGTTTATGTGTATGTGTGTTCTGTGTGGATACAATTTTTTTCCACGATTTCGGGCGCACCGATCAACCGATTTGAATAATTCGAAAAACATTCGATTTGTATTGATAATGAGACGTACTGATTAGTGTTTGCCAAGGGCCGTTTTGGAGATGCGGAGCCAAATGTGCAAAAAATGGTAGTTTTTGAATGATTCAAAAAACATTTTGCTTGTGTTGACAGTGAGAAAAAACGATTTTTAAAAAGGGATTTTTTGTTTAATTCCAAAATTTCATTTTTTTAATTCCCAAAAAGTATATTTTTTTAAATATCGATAATGATTAAGATTAGGATATTGATTTTAATTCTAGATAAATAAATTATAAAAATGTAATTACCGGTTAAAAATTAAAAAAAAATCAGCCAGACAAAGCACAGTCTAAGTGACAATCTGGTACGCAAGTGCGCTTAAGATTGTGGCGACACGGGAGCGCTTTTTTAATTGTGTAAATTATACGCAACTATTTTTTCTGAAATTGAATTAGAAATGAAATGACGGTTGCTAATGTTCCTGGACACTTTGAGATAAATGGATTTATTATTTGCATTTGATTTGCTTACAGTGTTAATTCAGATAGAACAAGATACCAAAAATAATATGTTACAGAATTTATAATGATCCATTTCAAAACAATTAAATTTCCTCGAATATTCCATTGCGGTTAGGGATGCTGCAGTAATTACCCCTAAGACACGATACCATATACCACTAGTTGCTTTGCTTTTTGTTAACTTTTTTTAAAATTATGTTCTAATTCAATTGCGATGCATGACTATATTGAGTATATATGTATGTAAGATTTTTTTTTAATTTTATTATTACGTATTCAAAATAAATTTAAATTTTTCCTATCAAATTTGATATCCATTACCCATTTTGTAGCCAGCTTCTCATGAAATATTAAGAAAAATAAATAAAAAGTTTTGAATTTTTATACATGAATGGCAAAAGGTAAACTCATTAAAAAGAGATTAAACTATCAAATCGATATAAGGCACGAGTCTCCGTGGAAGAACACACTATAAGTAGATTTGAATTATAGTTCCGATGATAAATCGAACTATGTTTAATATTTTATAATTATATAATTTAATATAGCTTCTTGTAAAGCATATATCGATTGTATATAGCTCGAGCACGAATAATTATACACATTTATATATGTATTGTATATGTATGTATATATATATATATATATATATATATATATATATATATATATATATATATATATATATTA